GCCATTGGGGTCCCTTTTTTTTCTCATTGTTACTTTGATCATTTTCATCACAGAATGCTTAAATTAAAATAGGATTAGCTTCCGAGCATGCAAAGTTGAGATTAACAATGTTTTTCTGACTGATTGTAGATGTGATGTCAACTTTTTCCAAATGCATTCCAAGTTCCTGGAAAATACCCCCTCTACGACTGGACGAACAGGTTAAATGATAGTTTGATATAGGATAATGGATCCATCTCTGGGGAACAAAATACACTGGGAGTGAAAACTAATGTAAATTCCTATAGATTGTTAGGCTCCCAAAATTTGTTTTGTGGTGCATATTATAAATAAGTACCACGATGTAATATTCAATAAAATGACATACTATAAAAGGTTTTGCTAGATGGTCCACTTACCTGTGTCTTTTGATGATTGGTTGTACTACATTATGAAAGTTTTGGTTATGCATGAATTATCCTTACATGTTCCTTGTTCACATATTATTGTAGATCGTTATGCCTTTTTGTTCTTTTTCATTGCTTATAGGATGGTTTAGTCTGTCTCAACCTTCATGTGCTGTCACTTGAGTGCATGTGAACCATTACAGGTACACCATGTATGCATATACATGAAACACCATTAATACCTTTATGTTATCATAAACAATATCTTCTAGTTATTTGGCTTCTGGATGCTTTTTCCAACTGTATGTACTTGTATAAACTCAATAAGTTGGTGAGTTTATACGGTTGTACTCATTTGAACATGTATGTATGTAACATACAGAAAGCACTACTTTTTAGTTGTCATATTTATTTTTTCGAAACTGTTCTATCTAATACCTTTTTTTTCCATGTAGAATTTATAGCATGACATTTTTCATTTGGATGCCAAGTAAGTGCTTATTTCTGCATATTCAAGTTTGATCTTTTGTTAGGTGGACACTGCCGGTTGGTTACAAAGGGCAGGGCAGGAGAAAGGACCAGGATCCTTGAGTGTAGTGCAGTCAAGAAAAAGCCTTATGAGGGCTCATGTTATAGCCTTGGTTCTTGATGCAGAAGAGGTATGCTACCTGTTATTTGTTAAACTAAGCTCTTTTATAGAAGACTAGTATAATGCATGTGCTTTGCACGTGAATGTACATGTTTTAAGTTTTGAATTTTTATTGAATAGTAAAACTATGTGTTAATAAATAAAATTGTATAATAAGATTGCTTAGAAGGAAATGTATGAATTAACTATTATTGTCCAGTTATTATGATTGAATGCTTTTCTTATACTGATAGCCTAATATTAACATTTTTTAAAATAAGTCCGCAAATCTAAAATTGTTCTTAAATAAAATTGTCAATTCTATAAATTCCCTTAAATATATCCCTCCAACTTGAAAGTTGTTAACTTAACTCTAAATTAACTAAGCTGCATTAATCTTACTAACTTTTTCCTAAAATTCCCTAGATAGTTATACTTAACACCTGCAATATATTGCAATAGTTACTTCTTATTATAATTATTTAATAGTGTAAATTAGACTAAATCCTTGTGAACTTTCAGGCCATATGAACTTTAAAAATTACACTAAAACCCTAATGACTTTTTTGTTTCAAAGAAAACCCCCTGCCCAATAACTTTCTGAATTTTGCAGATAATTCCTATAAATTAGAACAAAAAATGGCATAAAAAGGCATTTTGAAAGTTATTGGGGGGTTGGCGTAATTTATCTAAAAGATATTGGAGGCTTTTTACAAAAGTTATTAGGAGTTTGGTGTGATCTCGAAAGTTCATAGGGTCTATTTACTACAAAATAATAAAAGTTCATAGGGTTTTAATGTAATTTATCTTATTTAATATTATAATTCTTAGTTCAAGTAATACTATAAAAATAATTATACTATTTATATACTATAAACTAATCATCTAATTGTTTTTTATTTATACTCTTAAATAATTTAGTACTATAAATATTTTATAAATATATATTATACTATCATTAACAATTAATAGTACTATTATTAATATTAAATAATTTTTTTGTAAAAAGGTTAGTTTTCAATCATTACCAAGTATAGATTGTTCAGTATCATGTAATAATCTTTGAGAAAATGCTCTAAAAATAATTTTAAATTATTTATTTAATGAATATAATACTAAATAAATAGGGTAATTAATAATTTATGTGATATTAATAAACTAATTACACTATTTCAAAATTTATTCTATTTATTTTATTGCTCATTGGATTATAGTATAATTCTTAATAGTATTTAGTAATATATTACTCTATTTATACTATTATTTTAATTACTTTATTATAATTCATAAATAATTTTTATAATAATTTAATTGGTTATTACAAATAGTTGTGTATACTTATATTATAAATTATTTTTTTATTATTTTTAAACAATTGATAGTTATAATATTATTGACAATTATAATTATTTAGGAAGGTGAGGAGGTGCATAATTAATGAGAGGTTATATTTATTTAATGAAAGATTAATTATAGATAATGACATAGTTAGAATTTATCAAAAAATAAGAGGGCAAAAAAAGAAATTAAAAGTTTTAACACCCCAATCCTCTTTTATAGTAGTATAGATATAGATATAGATATAGATACAGATAATGGCTATAATAATCTGCTATGGCATTTTGGTCCTTTATTTCGCGACCTTTACTCATTTCATGCGAAAACTAATTATTGATGCAGCCTAGCATTTTTAGGTGTGTTTGCTTGTAAATGGATATAATGCATCACCAACAATATGCAGCTCCAAATCCAATGCACTGCAACGTGCTTTTTGGATTGCTCGGTTTCCCCAACTATATCATTAGGGCATTAAGATTATATTTACTGTTTATTTCCCTTTCAATATTGATTTAATGAGAAAGACTGATAATCATGTTAATTGTATAAAAAAAATTGTTGGGTAGCTTTATTACACATTTTCAAGATCTGTTGGGAGTATGACAGTTATGAGTCTTTTTAGCATACTCCAGTTATATCAGACTTTATGAGACATTCCAAGTTTCTCATTTTCTTTTGTGCATCCAACTAAACAATAAAATTGGGAAGGTGGTGGAATAGGAGTAGCATGTTGCGTCCAGCTGCACAAACCAAACACACCCTTGGTTAATGTGGCTCTGATTTAATAGTGAAAATACAGTAGAAAGAGAGATTGTCCCTACTCCACCAGCTCCAAGAGATCAATAAACTCTCACCTTATTATTCTCAGGACATTATTTATCCATTCCCTTTCTATCCATTAAACACTATCAAACTTTCTTTTGCCACCATGAGCCAATATTACTTAGACATATTTTGTATTTTACACAACCAACTTAAAAAAAAAAGACGCTGTCTGTGTTGTACATTGTTCAGCCTTACTGTCCTTTGATATTCTCATCTGTCGGGAAGTAGCAGGAAAATATTTTTCTTTGTCACATGACAAAGCATTAAGCTAAGCTCAAACGTTGATGTCTTTATGTTGACATGGAAAATCCATGTATGATGATGATAAGTAAGTGCATTTTCCTGCTTCTGTTCCAGTCAATGTATAACAACATCATGTGTTGTGTTATTCTCTATGCTTTGTAAAGATCCAATATTCTCTAGTTACCTCCTCCATTTTAAATTTCCCCCCCATGAATCTATCATTTTTAATGAAATCTTCTATTTGCAAAATACCTTCCCATCAACAATTCACCTTTCTGTTATAGTTTCAGTATATATCATTATAACATCTTAAACTATCTTTGACGGCTGTGAAATACTACTTGATTGCAGATTTAGACTGAAGTGAGTTCATTTTATGGTTTCATCAACTTTTGACACATATTTGCCTAAATTTTTCATACAGTTTTCAAGGAGAACTGATAAGTCCTTGATGATTTTGTTATAAAACTTTTCATTTCTCGATAAATCGAGTAAATACGGAATCTATTTTGACCTCAGACACGTTAATCTAGCCTAGCTTTCAAATCTCACAGAACTTTTGAGGCATTCCTAGTATACTTGTATCATCTTCAGTCGCAATAAATTGCAGTTACCAACTGCATATTATCTAGGTGCATGTACTTTAAAATGGGAATATCATGAACATACTGGAACGGTCAAAAAATGATATTTGCTCTGGAAAGAGCTATTAGTTCATGGGCACGTCCTGAGAGAATAACAAAGGCAAAGCAACACCACAGAGGCCTTTCTCAGTGGTAAAAGGTTAGGATTGGATTGGGTTATGTCAATGTTTAAAAAAGCGTTTGTGGAGTGCGTTTCAAGGCACCTCTCAGCGCGTTTGGCTGGAAAAACGCTACGATGCGTTCTTCAAAAACATTCGTTCCTGTGAATCGCTCGCTTCACTTCATGAGGCGCAGGCGTCAGTGATGAAGCGCACGCGCATCGCTTTGTTTTTGCTTTGAAGCTCAGGGGTTCATCAAGGTTAAAAAAAGGGGGGAAAAAGAGGAAAGCTGAAAAAAATTCTGCGAAAATAACTGACCTATTCCTATTATGATTCGATTATGGTTCCTGTTAGAATCTAACTGATCCTCTGCTCTATATAACTCGGTGGGATCCTCTTCTCCCTCAAAGCTTGAAGAGAAGACGACGCCAGAAATGAGTATTTTTTATCTTGACCCCCTCTCTTCTTTCTTATTGCTTTGGTTTTTCTTTTTTTAATAGTTCTTTTTGGAACTTTAGCAGTCCCGATCTCTGTTTTTAACCCCACTGTCGTTTGCTCTCCTTTATTTCTATCTCTTTGAATAGTCTTTTGACTGTCTCATTTTTCTAGGGTTACTAAATACTTTTACAGCTTAGTAGCCCATATTTTTAGGCTATTAATACTTTACAGTGATACTAATTCATTTTTTTAGGGTTATTAAATATTCTTACAGCTATTGCTCTAATTTAATAATGCAGATTTTGACTAGTATCTCATCTTCCTAGGTACATCACTTATTTCTACGGCTATATTTTAAAACTTCAATACTGTAGGCTCATATTCCAGAAGGCAGTAATGACTTTACCAGCTATCTTTTCTAACTTCACTAGTGCATGCGTCTGCCCAACTTGTTAGAAGACAATACTTTTTAACCATCCTTAATACACTGGTGCCTTAATTTCTTATGCAAATATTTAGTTGTTACTTTTTATTAGAGTTTAGAGAAATGACAACTTGTGTGTGTGTGTATGTGTCATTTATGTTTTATTTAGTACAATATACATACTTATGCACACACATACATACATACATACATACATAAGTACATACATACATTAAATAATATAAATAAATGGAGAACTATGAAACCTATGCTTCATGTCTCAAAGCTTACACTTCGCTTCACAGGGAGCAAAAACGCTTTGCCTTGCTCTTCTACTTTTTAAAACATTGGGTTATGTGATACCCCACTTTTAAATCACGCCTATATCATTTGTTTAGTAAATGAAAACAGTCAAATAGCTGATACATTTGCTATAAAGGTTATCTTGTTTATAACTTCCAAAACTTCATCTTGTTTATACCTTCTGAAATTTTCATGTATGAGGTTGACTTACATATGCATATTTTTATGCTTTATGATATATCGACGACTGCAAGGGTCATAGGTAAAATCTAATAGTTTTTACCTTGTTGTGTTTTTTCTGTACTTTGTATAGTTTAGAACTACTTTTTTGCTTAGATGGTAAGGTCCTACATCCCGTTGAATGTTTTTCATAAAATAATGAAGCTTAACAATCTGATATTGGACCTTAATAAATTCACGAAAAAGGCATGAAGGCAGTGCAACATAGTAAAGGAGTCTTCCCTCCTTCCTGATCAAGCCCTTGTGAAGAGCTATGTTGCATGGGTAGGGGTACGGGTACATGTATGGAATGGAACACGACAAATTTGTAAAAGGTAGGGCATGGAGGCACAGCTATATAAATGTTTATATACACAAAATATTATACATTGGAGTTAATAATTTATATGAGAACAAAGATGAGAATTAAAATTCCTACAACATTTTTATGTTTTCTTTGTTGCGTGGATTATAAATTAGAAAATCACTAGTTTATGAACTAGGCATCAAAATGACCCTCCAAAATCATAATTCGAAACCAAGCCTATGTCCAACGAGTTTTAAGAAGTGAATGTGAAGTGTAGGATATCTGTCTAAAAAAAAATGCTTGACAAGTGTTTTAAATTAAAACATGTATTGTATAATTTAGTACATGCCTAATAAGTATATGCATATATTCAAGGAGTGTCCAAGGTGTTTGGGTACTGGTATGAGTAGGGTACAACTTCAGATTAGAAGTACCCAGGTAACATATATGAAGAGACAGGTATCATTTATGAGTATTATTATTTGTACCAAAGTGAACTCCTTGGCATGGTTGTGCTTCTTTTCTAGTATATAAACTAACATAGAACGAAGCGTGGAAGACAGTAAAGGAGAATGGTTAAATGAAGAACGAAAGTCAGGACAATGAAGAGTTATATGACTACCTTTTTCTTGATCACTTAGTTCTTTTCATTTAGGTCTCAATATATACATTTGTAATACTAACCTATTGCATTCAGGCTTCTCATGGTATTCCTGTAAAGTGTAATGTTAAATCCTGAAACCACTTGTATGATGTGAATTAAAGATCTATCATCTATCTAATATAACTGACAAATCATTATTTCCACCTCATGCTGCTCTGTTTTCTTTCAATATATAGATTGCTAGAGCCAATAAAAGCATGAAACATGCAGAAGTGGTAATAGCTCGCCAAGCAATTGAAGAGGGTCGTGGCCTGGTTGTGATTGTCAATAAGATGGATCTACTTAGAGGAAGACAAAATTCTGCATTGTATGAAAAGGTCATCGAGGCTGTTCCAAAAGAAGTCCAAAGTGTTAACCCGCAGGTTTGTTTGTTCCTTTTTTGTACATGATTTAAAACATTAATTTCGCCTGGTAAAACCTATTTGCCTTTATTGCTTCTACATTTTTAGACCTTTTTTAGTTGGATAATATGATACATGAAGTTCGCTCTGATGATTTTTTATCTTTTCATGGATTAACCTTTTAGAACTCAAATGAATTTGTGGTAAGAACTAGGTATTACTGACTTTTCTTTCAATTATTTATTAGAAAATGTTTTCATTGCTCCAATTGCTTTATGGTTCATTTCAGTGTTTAATAGCAACTGATCAATAAATATGTGAAAACGTCACAATGCAGACACCTGCTTTTGCATCTCATTTTATTGTCAACGTTGCGGCACATATGCTTACCGGAAATATAGTTAGGTGATCTTCAGAATTCGTACTTTTATTGGAGGTCGTCATTTTTTCTTAGTTGTTTTGGTTCTTCATTCCAGATTATACTTCCATCACCAAATTGTGTTTGATTGCAAACTTTACAAAAGTTTGAGAATGATGATTTTCTTGTTTTAGATTGTTGACGATAATTCTACCCCACCGATGTAAAACATAAAAGCATGTTGTAAATCATCGTAACATTTGGTTGGAATTTGGATATAAATCACGTGGGTTCAGTTTTGTTCTTTCTTTAGTCATCTACTTGTTTTAATCTACCTCTTAGTGGTCCTGAGTTGTTTTGGTATATCAAACTTTTCATTTCTTGTACTTCAGAACTGGGAACTCTTCCAGACCATCAAGAAACACTCTTCCTTGATTCTTTTCTGTTATTAAATGTTCAAATTCCTTATATACCGTAGTTTATAATGTAATCAAGGCTACAAAAATTTATTCAAATCTTTAATCTGCAAAGCATGTATGTCCTCTCTGCATATTGTATATTTTTCCTCAAGAACTGTTGAAAATACCAAAAGACAGGATAAAACTGTCAATAGTCTCCATTAATTGTATTTTAATCAGCAAAAGCTGTAGGTTGGTCTTCCTGCATGTTTTATTTTTGTGAACGTTGCTTTTATTCCCCTTGGTGAGTTTTATTTATTTATTTATTACCCATTGAATCTTGTGGATAAGCCTCGGTTATTTATTTTTTTTCCTGTGGTGCCGAAATGCCCGTATAAATATGTTCAGGAAACTGGTTATTAAAATTTGAAAAATCATCCTATCTGGTATAGGCAGACCATTTTGAACTGTATTTTGAACTATACAATCTGAAACAGGTCTAATTATCAGAATTTAGAATCAAGTAAGTTATTAATTGTTTTTTCTCATTTTTTGATTAAAATTGGCAGAAACGGTGCTGAACAGCTTGTACCCTAAAAATTTTGGTTCCCAAATAGGAGAAAAACGAAAAAGGAACAGTAATATTTATTTAGATTGCAGATAAGCTGTGCCACTTTCAGGTAAAACTAGCTTCCTATAATGAGCTTTTAGGACTACCAGTGTTGCACATCTAGATATGGCCCAAGCCGTTGTTTGGTTCGATGCAGCTTGTAGGGACTGTAACCACAGTTGCATGCAAATGGGATATTTTGGACCAGTTGCAGCTATTTTTTTCGGCAGTTGCAAAAAAGGCGTCTAATTGCAGCTGAAGACTTAGATAGATTTTCGCATTAGTCGCGGTTCCAAGCTTTTCGAGCTGTGAATGGGTTTAAGTTATAACTCCAATTGCATCAACTTCTTCTTAACATAAATCCAGAAAGTCGCGTACCTCAAAACAAGCACCAATAACTTCATCTCTTACCATAAATTGTAAAATTTTAAAATTGACTCAACTCAAGCAACTGCAACTACAAACTGTATACAACAAAAATTTCAGCAGCAATTGCAGTTGCATGTTATTGGCACTTGCATTGTAATTAGTAGTTTCAACGACCCAGTCATTCCACAGTATAAGGCCAAAGTACTCTATAAAAAAAGCTCTAAGTATGTTTTCATTTGGGTTTAAATTTAAATAAAAGTAACTTCAGATTCCCTTCAATACCCAAGAAAATAACTAGACGCAACCAAAATAGAAAATAATCCATAGAATTGCGACAAATAAATTTTTTTAACATGTGAACAGAATTTGAAAGATGAAGACATGCTCACAACATTTTTCTTCCTCATATGATATCCCAACTTTTTTCTTGATCTTCCTAAAAAGGATAAAAATGATTTGATAACCTAATACTTAACAACACAATTGGAGCTCAAGTGTACCTGAGCATATCAGAGCTTCAAATATTGTATTCTATCATTCTATGTATATTTCTCTATTTCATGTCCAGTTGGTCCTGGTTTCCGGTTTCATGTCCTTGTATCGTTTTGGTTTCATCAGATGATCGAGCCATATTTACTTAGGAATAAAAGCTTCCCTGTTTATTTTTTTACTTGCTAACAACTTGTGTATGGTGTACAATGAGGAAAGATAATATTTATCCTTTGTCTTTTGCTAGGATAGTTTGAAGTATGACAGGATAGTCGAGAGCAGTACATTCCATAGTGGAGGTAATGAAGCAGTGCACTTTGTTAAGCTGAAATGATGCTATTTGACTGGATGCTTGATCAGTTGACTAAATTATGTAACAGATTTGTGACAGGAGAAAATGATCATAGTTCCTAGCAGTTTTACTGGACCAGTGAGTTCTGGCTCCTTTTTATTTCACCATTTAGTAGAGGGGTTTCTATTATCCTAGTTGCTCTGGCATTTTGCTAAAGGATTTAGCATTGTTTTTATTTTGTATATTTCCTTTTAGTAGCTATATTGTAGAAATATTGCTCACGCCAAAATTTCAGGGCACAAGTAGTTCTTACCCTGCATTTCACTATTTTTGCAGGTCACTGAAATACCGGTTGTGTTTATTTCAGCTTTGGAAGGAAAAGGACGTATGGCTGTTATGAACCAGGTTATTGATACATACAAAAAGTGGTGTCTAAGACTATCAACAGCACGCCTTAACCGATGGTTGCGCAAGGTAAAGCAACATTTCATAGTGCTTTGGTGCTATCATGCTATTTCTATTTAAAAATGAGGCTAATATTTCATAGCCAGGCTTACATATATAAAGACTCATGTTATCTTGTTTGTCTATTAAAAAGTAACTCATTCTTTCTGATGTATAAGCTTGCATTTCAATCTCTTAGTAATTACAATTAGAAAAAGAACAGAAGTTCATCCTGCCAATTTTATGCCAAAATGGTATATACCTGCAGTTACTTTCTTCTTGCCATTGTTTTCACCAAAATTCACGTACTTGCATATTAAAGATGAGAAAATTTTCAATATTCTTCTCCATTATGCATGCAATAGAGGCAATAGCAATGTAGGCATTCGTTACTTTTGAGTGCACATCATTTATCAACCCCAATCTGAATGGAAGTAAAACAACGATGAAGCCTTCATGCCAAAATTTTGGGGTCGATCCCACTCTTCCACTCAGTTCTGTTGAGGGTTCTCTCCTTCACTAAGTTAATCATATTCTTCTCAACATCTTCTATCCAAATTCTTTTAGATCTACTTCTAATTTTACACTTCCCATTAATTAGAACCTAGTCACTTCTCGTAATGGGTGCATTTTAATGGCTCATTTACATGAATCTGAACATAAATAAAGAAGAATAATAAAAGCAAAAGTAGTTTATTATTCTTAGTGCTAAAAATTTTCAGAACAATTAGATGGTGGCAGGTTGTCATTCTTACTGATAAAAATTTTCATACATCGCTCAAATTTCATGCAACGGTAGTCTTTTTAAAATACCTTTTCCACTTTATTTATTCACGAACAGGTTATGAGCAGGCACTCCTGGAAAGATCTAGCAACCCAACCAAGGATCAAGTACTTCACACAAGTGAAAGCTCGACCTCCAACATTCATTGCTTTTTTAAGCGGGAAGGCGCAACTTTCAGATTCCGATATGAGATTCTTAACAAAATCCCTAACAGAAGATTTCGATTTGGGTGGGATTCCAATTCGTATAATGCAGCGATCTGTCCCTAAAAAGACGGCACCAGGAAGCAAGAGCAGTAGAAGCTTGCCACTTTCTAAGAGCAATAAGAGAGGGAGGTCAGATAAAAGGGCTCGATCATCAGAACTCGCTTCGACTTAATTTTTCGGTTTTATTTATTATATTATATGAACACAAGTTACCTGACAGCAAGTCTGGAAGAAGGGAGTCACTCTTTTGACTCTAGGCGCATACTTTCGAGTCACGCTTTTGACTCTAGGCGCATATTTTCGTCATGGAATCTTGATTCAATCCTACAGTTTTCAAGTGCATTATGAGGAAGATAATGAAACTGTTGAGGGAAAAAGTTTGGCTCGAAGGATCCACGAAAAGCTTGATAAGCAAGGAAACATGGGGTTCTTTTTGGATATACAAGTTGTAAGTGTCTAACTAATCTCTATGGTTATTGTGGTTAGAATGTAATGAACTCATTATTTTGTGTTTTTCTGAAAATGTGTTGTTTAAGTCTTATGAAGTATGTTCATTTGGAAAACATAATTTTGAACTGTGCTTCAGAGAGAAAATTTAGAATCTCTTATTAAGGTGAAACTATAGCAATATTGTTCTGTCTTTGCTAAGGTAGCGCTTCAATTCCATGGTACTTTCTATGGGCTAAATTGCCAGACTGATATTTTAAGTTAGATCCCAATTACCAATACGGTTCTGAGAAGCTACTGTCAATAAAACATTTTTTTCCCATCGGTGGTGAGAATTTTTTAGAGAATTGTAGTTTTTTTATTGGGAAATTTTCTTCCATTGCTGACTCTTAAAGTTATTGCATTTTACACCCTCCTTTAACCTCTCCAATTCAAATTTATTTCAACCGATTACCCAGTAAAATTTTTTACATTGCTAGCTCTTAAAGTTATTGCATTTTACACCCTCTTCTTTTTTGCTTCAACTTCTGAATTCAATTTTCTTAAAGTTATTGCATTTTACACCCTCCTCCAACCTTTCTGCAATTCAAATTTCCTTTAACCTCCTCCTTAACCCTCGTGTTCTCTTATCAATAGAACCGTTCTCCTTCAACCTCTGCCATTTCAAACCCAGCTCCTTGTTTTGGCTAGTGTTGAGTTTGAATTTGGAGAAGTTGAAGCAGAAGGAAGGTTGAATAAAGAGGGTATAAAGAAAAGGATGAAGAAATTTGGCTTGGGTAAAAGAAGAAACTAGATATACAAAGTTTAATTAAGCCTTATTTTATTACAAGATCTATAGAAAGCTATAAGAAGAAACTAGATATACAAAGTTTTTAATTATTCCTAGTGACTTATGGACACGATGAACTTTTAAGAGAGGACAATTAAGCAAAAATAAAGGAAAAAGAAAAATGTTTCTGATCAGAATCAATTTAGTTTTATATAGAAATGTCAACGATGAAACCTTTTTTACGTTATTAAGTTCTTCAGAACTTTCACTGATTTAGGAAAAATATTGTGATACAATGTAGATAGGGATAACATTATAGAGTTTACAGAAACAATTATCTAATATATATTACCTGGATTAAACACATTAATATTAGGAAAATAACTATGGTGAAAACTATTGAAGGAGAGACGAAATGGTTTTCATTTGTCCTAAGTTTACATTATTGGTCTCCCTATTTTTTGAGTTTTGTTATGAGCAAACTTATCACGCATATTCAAAACAAAGCCTCATACTGCACGTTATTTTTCGATGACAAGTATTAAATGATGACACTAGGAGAGACATAATTTGTAAAATAGAAAAGTAGAGAAAATCTAGAACCTTAAAATACCTAAAATTATCTTAAAATATATCTAAAGTAATCCTAATAGACCAAGAAAATGAATGAATATCATAGACAGGTCTGAAGACAGTGTGATGACGGGAGCCTACAAGATGATAGGCTTGAACGGTTAAAGTGGATGATTGCAATTGAAAACACTTCTTACAATAAAGCCTACAACAAGATAGGTTTGAGCGATTAAAGTGGATGATTGCAATTGAAAATACTTTTTACAATAAAAATGCATCTCTTTAATAACAAATGCAACCTTAAAAGTTTTTTCAACTCGAAAGCTTTTTCAACTAACTAAACACACACTATTAGTAAAAATACGAGTATCCCAGACGGAATATCCCAGACGGAAAATTTTCCGTCTGGGATAAACTATACTAGACGGAAAAAATCCGTCAAGAAATTTCCGTCTACAATATAATATTCTAGACAGAAATTTCCGTCTAGAATAGTATTGCAGACGGAAATAATATGTTTTAATTTTTTTTGAAAATTTTGGAATATCCTAGACGTAATTTTCCGTCTAGAATGTATCCTAGACGGAAATTTCCGTCTAGGATATTAGGTACCCTTTATAACGAAAAATCCCCAGATCTGACCTCTAATTCCATTTCATCCCCTAAATCCCTAAATCCCCTAAATCCCCAGATCTAGCCTCTAATTCGCCTCCTTCCTCGGATCGCTATCAGCATCGTCGTCGCCGTCGCCTCCCTCCCGTCCTCGCCGTCGCCTCCCTCCCGACGTCATCGTTGATCGAATCGCAGGAACCGGAAGGTGGAGATTTCGTCGTCGCCTCCTCTCTCGTCCGCGAGCATCGTCGTCGCCTCCTTCCTCCGGATCTAAAGGTCGTTGGTTCGTATCCCACTGCGATTTACACTGTTTTCATTTAAACATATATTTTTTAGAACAAAAGCTTACACATTCATCCAAGCAATAATTAATTCCTACACTAAGGGTTGTGTGGTTTTGTGAATTTCCTCTCTAAAAACATGTATGCAAAGTTGCAAGAGAACAATTATCAAATTATAATATAATAAAGGTGTCGACCCCACATGGAAGGTGTGAGTGTGGACAAAGAGGAGAGGAAGTGAAAGTGTAGAGATGTAGAGAGAGATTTGTTACAAAAATAAAGATCTAAAACAAGAGAGAAGAAAGAGAAAAAGAGGAAACAAATTAAAAGAAAACAATGAGGAAAGTAAAAAAGAAATAAAAAGAAATATAAACAAGAAAAAAGAAAGAAGTAGGAAGATGAGAAAAATCAACAAAAGAAATTCAAGAAGAGGGAAATCAATGATGGAGAGAAAAATCAAATCAAGAAAGTCTGAGGAAAAACAAGTAAAGAAGCTAAGAATCTAGAATTGAATCCACTAGTAATTTCAATTAGGATTTATGAACTACTCTCTTTTTATAATATTTTATTTTAAATTTACTAAGTATAGATTATTAAACCACATAAAGAAAGCACAATCTATCAAATTCATTCAAACAAAATCTTATTCACGAAAAGAATAAGCAACTAGATAAAAATATTAGAAATGAATAAGTACAACCTATCAAACCACTCAAAATAAGCATAGATTATCAAACACTTTTTCTACCAGTTTGTTCTTTAGTTGATTATCCTAAGCAAAAAATATTTTAAGCATAAAAAATGCAATTCATAAACCATAAAAGAAATTAAACTAGTTTCATTCAATCCTAGATTTCCTAAAGAGATTAGTTACACATATTATGTGAAAAGAATGAAATCTAGATTATAAAGCGTAAAAATAAAGAGAAGAAAATAAAGTAAAAGCTAAACTACAAAACAATAAGAAGTACAATAATTATAAATCTACTCTACAAAGTGAAAATACCCTAATGCCACTAGGAAAGAACCCAAGAGGGGGGTGAATAGGGTTTATGCTAATCTAATCTGATTTATGCCAATTAAAAACTAATTAACAAATATCCTAGTAAATAAGATATGCAATGAGATATATGCAAGGATAAGCAATATAAATAAGGGTAAACAAATAGTGGACAAACTAAATAATGAGACAAATGCGATATGAGCAATGAGCACAAGTATAAATGAACGCTAATACAAACTCAAACACAATCAAATAATCACGGAGTTCAGACCTTCCGTCCTACGTCTCCGCTCCCCACACCCGGAGAGAAATCCACTACACAACCGGGTTTTTAACGCTCACCCGAATAACGTATTACACCTCACAATTAGGTTTTCTAGCTCACCGAAAACTTTACAATCACTCACAATGTAACTACACTAACTACCACCTCAAGTGTTTGTCTCTAGCCCGTGTCTCCCTCAAGTGTTAGAAATTATAACCTCTCTCTAGGCATTACCACCTACCTCACTCCTCTTGGGACAACCCCGTCTCTCACCAGACACTCCTTTTAGTGTACTAGTGTATTACAAAGTGATCTACACAATTAAGGCTCACAGATATAAATTTGTTCTCTACAATAGATGAAAACACAATGTAAGCTCACACTCTAAGTCACACAATCCCATAACCCAATTATACAATGTATGCAAATACAATAAGCTCAATGGTTGTGTGTGTAAACAAAGAGTAAATAAAATCAACTAAACTCAATATAAACACTAGCTTAATAAAATGGTAATCAAACAATATAAATGTAAAGATAAATTGAGTTTAGGAAAATTTCTCTATAGATAACAAGAGAGAAGGAGAAGAGTGAATGCTCAAACACCAAGGATGATCACCACTTTGCTCTTGTGAAAGTTTCTGTAAAACCCTATAAAGTTAAATATTTTATGATAAATAATGATAAATATGTTATATGGTGAAAAATAACATATTTTGATATTTAAGTATGACAAGAATTTATTTGAGATTAAATTAATGTATATTTATGAAAATATGTATGCAAATGCACAAAACATGCAAAAAGGCCAAAAGAGTGAAAATCTGGGAATAATGACCAGTTAAGAGTTTTTATATTTTACACACCTATACATTCAGAATCTGGAAAAGTGTAAAATACCAAAGTTGTAGGTATCTTCAATAACTTTCCAACAAATCTTAGATTACCTCATTCCGAGGTCGGATGAGAAAGTTACAGCCAAAATACCAAGGTTATCTTCCTAGTCAGACTAGGTTTTCTGGTTCGGGTCAAACATGTTTGTTTCGGGTTTACCTCTATAAATACCTATGTTTTTCACGAAAATTCTTTTCTTTTATCATATCTATGAACTCTAGCAGCCACCCTCTCCCCTCAAAAACCCTAGACCTTTTTCTTATGAGTTTGGAGAGCTTTGTAAAGCAAAACACCGCCATGAGGACGAGATCATCGACGTGTAGCGAGGGAGAACGAGTTGTTCATGCTCGTGGTTTGCTTTCTGATTGTTTCAGAGGCTTGCACATGAGATTAAGGCAAGATCACATACATCCAAACCCATCCCCATAGTTAAATAACTAGCTTAGAAGTTTAATTTGTGTTTACATGCTTAGATCTTAATCTAATGTGAAAAAGATTAAAATTTTGTTGTTAGATCTTAAACAAATATTAGATCTACATGTTTTTCTTGCTGTTTATAATAGAAATATGATCATGATCATTAAGGTTGCTTTTAAATTTGTTTTTATCTTGTTAATCATGTGCTAATCATGTCTAAACCCTAATTTGACTTTTAATTGAGTTTGCATGTGGATTAAAGATGAGAAAACCCTAGGTTTGTGATACCTAAGTATTAAAAATATGATTTAATAAATGTATATCTTTTTTAAGTTGTTTGGCAATCATGCTTATGTTT